CAGCTGTGAAAGAAAACTAAGGATTTTTGCTACCATTATATACAGTATATGCTGTACATTACATATTCTACAATACTGCAAGTAGTTATGTGGCTCTCAGCATATTATATAAAAAGATAATGAAACTCGTAAAACATTTTAGTAGGTAAAATAGCAAAGCTGCTGTGTACTAGTCTTTATTTTAATTAAAAACAGATTATTTAAAATATGGTGTGAAAAGGTATATCCAGTGGTGATTATCTGCTTTTAATAAACTAAAATGTTTTTTACTGGGGAAAGTTATTGGATAGATGGTTCTCCAGAAGACAGTTTCTCTTGTTTTGCTTACTTTAAAGAAATATTAAATCCTGTCAGTTGCCACTGTGAGTAAAACAGGGGTCCTTATGTGATGACAGATGGATTGTTTATGTAACAGGATAACAATGACTGTAAAAAAGGACAAAGACTTAAAACATTATTTTGCAACATAAATTACATAATTGAATTTTTTTATCCTTATTAATTCCAATGTCCTTAAAAATGTCAAAGTCTGAAAAGAGCTTAAACTGTAAGTGAATGTGAAGAAGCAGGAGGTACTGATTTCCTGCTGCATGGGAAATGTCATACTTTATTGTATCCTATAGAAATTGAACAATGCAGATACTGTACAAGAGACTGAAGGTATGAACATCACCTATTTGTCACAGTATTGTAAATATGGCTAAAGACAAGTCCAAGTTAATTTTAAAGAAATGCTCTCTTTGTAGATATTCTCTAAAACGAAAGAAATTGTACATCTGACATTTTGAAATATGAGAGTGTTTTGTGTTAAGGTCAACAAAATTTAGGGTCAAAAGAAAAAGGGTCTGTCTAAATTGAATATTTTTCACCTTCCTTTGTGAAAGTCAAAATTAACCTATATTATACGATTTGCTGCAGTTGTGTGCTCTGTATGATGCATAATCCTGTGTTTGGAGACAAAATGTGTCTGGCATATCTTTCTACACTTTTACTGACTGCACATACTTGCTCCAGCTTCTCAATAGCCTCTATAATGTAGCTCTGCTGTTCGTGAGGTTTACATACAGTACAGTATAAAGTACACCCTTTGGTTTCATAGTATAAGATTTATACTAAAATGTGGTTACATTAGTGTTTCGGTGTCACTCCTGCCAATAGTACAAGACCTGTATTGTAGATGTTCTATGGTTCTGAAAAACCATAGAAACTAGAAGTACTCTAGTTCTTAATCAAATCTATGTTTATTTTAATACAATCTAATTCATTTCAGGGTCAATCACTTCTTGTGGCAGAGATGTGATATAAATATTGACTTTTTAATCTGTTATATTGCCAGAAAAAAAAATATATTTACAATTATATTTTTCATACATTTTGTATGATATAGAAAATTGGAAGATTTAGCCAAAATGAAAAAGTAAAGGGAATCTTTCTTGATTTGTTCGTTTTTTTTTCCGGTTAGCTTATCTCAGAAATTGTAAAATGCGTTTATTTTTTTCTAAGGTTTCCTGTACTGTATCTGCATGCCTTGTCTTCAGTTATTGATATCTGGCATCATCAGATTTGTCTCTCCTCTGCTGGTACATGTAAAATAATGGCCCATTTGTTTGCACCTGCATGTATTGAGGTAATTTGACACAGGTTCATTAACTAACCTTAAAAAGTAAGTTATATATCAGTTTTACTTTCCTATCAGTTAATCTTCATTACTTTTAAAATTTCCATTATTTAATGACTATTCACATGTATGTGCTTTGGATATTCTTTGTTGTATACTGTTGTTGTTTCTGCTGATATTTCTTTGTTTGAAATTAGAAATTACCAACCAGAATTGCTATTAGATTGAGTTTAGAAATCAGAGGTCAGGAACTCTAGAGGGATTTCCAAAACAGTAAAACATCACAGTGGAATGCAGATATACATACCTGTGTTATTAAAAATTGTTAACCTTTAGAACGCATTTAAGAAGGTACTGTTTACCTAATTATTTAGCAGAGAGAACAGTAATAGTCATTATCTTTCAGTAGTTCTGCAGCATCCAATATTTGCAATTATAATTTTGCTCAACCTAGACTATGAACAAACTGTCTTTATTGACAGAAAAATACTATGAATCAAAAAACATTTAAATGAATATATAAGATCATTTTACTCAAAGGATTTAGAAGGTACTATAGTTCTTGACTCATAACTCTCAATGTGGTTGCAAAAGTTAGTTAACAGTTCTATTAAATTGCCGTTAGCTGAAGTTACTCTAAGTTCCATTCCTCCGCTGGGAGTTACAGTAAGTGTGGAGGGTTGGTATATCCTACCAACCACCATCACAGGACACTGTTTAATGTCTTTGAAATACATCATTTACTGTTTTGGCTAAAGTGTAAATACAATGATATCAGAATATTGCAATGCTTTTCTGGCCAGGCTCCTCACTCATATGGTGACACATTGAAATACTGTTTTAACTTGTATGGCAATTGCATCATATACCAGTGATATATTTGTAAACTTAAGATATCCTTAACTTAAATCCTAAGCACTTAAAGTGATATTTGATATACTGTATAAGTGCGGCTTCACATAATGCATAATATGTACATATGTTTGAACATATGTTTTTCTCAGTTAATTTACTGTAGGTATTGTGTTAAAAAATAAGGTAAATCAACCACAGAAATCAGTCAGAAATCAAACACTCAGATATTAGGCACAAGAGAAAATAAGTGAAAGAAATAGGAAGTATTATTTAGAATATAGAATTGAGGACCTTATTTCATTTTTTTCATTATTGCAAATAGCATCAGTCATGGCATTTTAGGATTTAATGTGGCTGTATTTTAAATCAATCAACACAGCGCTCCATCTATGAACTCAAACGATTAAGAAATATTCTGTTCTATTAAACTCCCAGTGAATGTTAAAAGAATGTTGTTTTGAACCTCTTTTGGATTGCCGAACTCTCTCATTATTCTAACTGAGGTAATATACTGTACAGTGCAACAAACCTAACAATGTAGGTGCAACTGCCCATTAGCTGAAACTAAATTATAAAATGGTCTATGCATAGAAAAAGACAAACACCATTTAAGAGACAGATCTAGGTAAAATTCCATCAGTTTAATAGTCTAGTGCAGCTGTAGCAATGACATGGTTGTCCATAATTAGAGGCTTTATAAATGCAACTGAGTATCAGAACCAATAGCATTAGTTGTACTTGTAATGCCTCTCACTATACTGTACATAAAAATATGCCTATTCTATAAAAAGCACAGCATAGCACATAACTATGAGAAGGCATACATAGCAAATTGTGGAATTTTATCTATGGGTTTCCATGGAAAAAGGAGACATTGAAACATGCATCTTTAAACTAAAGAAGCATCCACATCTTAAAACAGAAACAATGTTAATTGTTATCGGAACAAGTAAAGGTTTATTCCATGTTGAAAAGAAAAGAGACAGAACATTTTGGCTGTGGAGCCGTCTTCAGGTGTGAGGGAGAGAGGAAAACCGGCAGCTGATAGAGCCCGGGAGAACAAAAGCCGACTTAAATTGTTATTGTACCTACAGTATATACAAATTTGATTAATCTGGATCCCTCTAGAAATTTTGCCTTGGGCCACATGTTACAAAGATAATTATGAAAACCCATCTGTTATGAATAAAAAAATCAAGTGGTTTTGAAATGTATAGTTGCAGTTAGCACAGTTAGCACAAGTTGTTTGTAATGTTTTTGCTAAAATGACCCTAGCCTATTTTTCCTTATAAATCTGATTTCCGTTGATGTCTTTTGCACATTACAGCTCACATTTGCACATTACTTGGTCTCTTAAACAGACTTGTCATTTAAGTAATTTTATTTGGCTTTTGCTTGAATTTAGCTAAATTGAATTTAGCTTCAATTGAATTTACGGCAGTTGTGTGTGGCTACATCTATGAAAAAAGGGTTATGTTTTTTAAGCAAGTGATGGCATTTTAAAAAAGCATAATTTCTAAGACAGTTACAGTATCATACAGTAGGTAAAATTGTTTTTCACAAACAGTACACAGTACTGGCAGTGTTTATTAGCTTCTCAAAGCTGTGGTAGATTTTCTATTAAGGGAAAAATATAATTAAATAATTATTAAAACTAGATCATTAATTTAATTAAATATGATATAGATAACGTGGGATAACAAAGTAACTATAGTTACCACATTTGTGACCTGCACTGATGGGATCTGTTTTTAAATTAGGACAAATTCAATGACGAGAAAGCTTAGTTTTAAGCTACTGTGCATTTTAGCAAAGCTATTAATATTTTTTTCTAATCATAGTGTCATAATTGTTAATACTGACAAATGTTGAGATTTTAAAATCCTATTTATATGCACTGGCATGTCAAAGAAACTGTGCATATCTGTTGACTACTGCCTTGCTACGCATCAAGGGATTAGATATTTTAGTCAATGTGAATCATCTCTCTGATGCATTTTGATCTTTTAACTTATTCAAGAGTTTTCTTTTATTGTAATTTCACATATCACAGTTGAGGATATCAGTGGAATTTGACTTTATTCAACTCACAGTGTAGAATAAAACTAAAAGCTGTCTGGTGAGGGGGGAAGCAAATAACTGAGTCTCTTACAGAGTAGCACAATAAATCTGTGAAGGAACTGTTTTGATCAAATCAGTGCATTTCTGTACCATCTTGTTTTGTAGTTCTTCTTTGTATAATTTTAATCTGAAATTTGTGACAAATTTAGTCCAAATTAATTTGAACATATTGGTTACCTTTTAGTTTTGCCAACACACCTTTGTTATTGGAATTAATATGGCACATATTCTCAAATTTGTCTTAGTCACTACACTTGTTTTCTGAGGCAGTCTCAATAATCAAGGCTTTGTCTCTTTGTGCAGAGAAGAAAGATCATTAGGATTATGATATGCCAAAAGAAATTTACTTCAAGGGGCTGTGTAGAACAGCAGGTTAATTGGATTTTCATTTTGTTTCTTTTTACAGATGGACCCAATTCAAAAAGCAGTAATAAATCACACGTTTGGAGTTCCTCTGCCTCCAAAAAGAAAACACATCATTTCATGCAATGTTTGCCAACTAAGGTTTAATTCTGAGGTGAGTGAGGGGATTCTTAGTGACATCTTTTCTGGCTGGCTGTGATAAGTGCAGATGTAAAAACATTAAATAAAAATCTGTTAAGAATCCAGTAAGAATGGTGTTTGGAGGAACTCATTTTGGTGGAAGCAGTTAACTTAATCGATCCAAACAATTTTATTGATTTGTTTTCCCATCAAACGCATACAGAAGCATAAAAACAATTTCCAGAACAACTGTGTTGTTCACAAATATTTATAGCTACAGTCTTTTTAGATATGGCAAGCAGTAGGCAGAAATATAATTTTGATAATTATCTTCTTTTATTACGCTGGGCAAACGTCCCGAGATCGAATTCTTCCGCGACGGGGGTACCTTTAAAGTACGCTGGGCAAACGTCCCGAGATCGAATTCTTCCGCGACGGGGGTACCTTTAAAGCGGAGACGACGGCACCGAAAATTTTTGGCGCGCCCTCTCTTTAAAGCCCTGGC